TATATATTTTTTATAAGATATTTATTTTAACAAATGTAGTCGAGAACTTGCCGATTCACTGTTAATGTAGAAGGAATTATACTTTATAGCACAGCAGATAAAAGGAAGTGCCATAGAAAGAACTTTAATGATGTCTTCTGTAGTACGTGTTGAAGTCAAAATTGCTGTAAGCTATAAATAATAATTTAAAAAAAAAAAAGAGAAAACGATATTTACATTTTATTTTATATTTACAACTTATTTTAACGTAACAATAATCCATTTTTATCACTTTATGCAACATTTTTTTATCAAGACGTACAATTGGGTTCCTCGAATTAATTTTTATTTGATAATAAATATTAAAGTGCTAACGTTTCGTAAATATTGCAATTTATTTTAAGGCTAAATGTAGCTTGATAAATGTATCAAGTTGATATTGATGAAATAAACTACTAGAATGTTAACAAAAAATTGACATTTTGATAATGGATTCATACAAGGAGATAATCTGCGAAACACATAACTTCTGTACAGAAAATTCTTGTGAAAATCTTATAAATATTAAGTTGTATAATTTTCAAAATTTCGTACTAATCTAATTATGTAACTATATGCAATAGAAATCGACATATATTATATAATAACATTTTATTACTATAACGTACAACTATGTATATGCGTATATGTACTTGCACAGATTTTTTTTATAAGTATAAAGAATAAGATCTTATTAATATTTGCGCTAATTTTTTATATTTAATATAGAAAATTTTTATATTTTTATTTTTTTTTTTGCTCATTTGACATATTTCAAGTTAATTCATATTCTCAGAGAAATATCAATTCTTAAATTAATCAACAACTTTGCTATTACAAATCAATTCTAGATCTAATATAATACTAGAATTAGAATCTTTATACCTGAAATATAATGCCAGTTATAAGGATGCTAAATATACATATTGTTTGCAATCCAACAAATTTTGATTTTTTATAAGGCCACAAACCAACTATCAACAAAAGAGTTCGATTAAGACTGAAATATCTATCTACAACACTGATCATATCTTAGCTAACTCTAAAACGCTTTTAACGGAATTGGCAAATAAAGTTGCGCTTATACCCACCATATAGTTGATTGATTCAATGTTTTTAACTTTTTTTTTTCTAATTCAAGAAATGTTCTACAATTTAAGACAGTTTCAGTAATTCAACCAATTTCACCAAATTGTTGAAATTTACATAAATTTTAGAAATTTTTTTGAATTTTTAATGATTAAAGTACCGTGAAATGTGCAATAAAATACTGATATAATATTAAAACCCTCGCAATTTAATACTACTTTATAAAAATATGTCCCGTTTAAGTGATCGATTCAGCTACGAAGAAATTCAACAGATGTTCTTTTCTCGTAGAATAACATCCATATGAATAACTATGATTATAAAACTTGCGCAAGCGCTGTAGCTACTTTTTCAATGATGCGTATTCTCGTGTTTCATTCTGAAATACGCTCTTGTAAGTTATACTCGATTTTTTAGAGTCACTATAATCAACTTTAAAATATATTATAGTAAATTAATTATTAAATTATTGATCCGTATTTTGACCTCATTTTTAACTATAAATGCGCGTATATAGTGTACGTTACATATTTTTAACATATAATTTACGTTATACATATATAGTGTTCTTCTCTAATATCCTGTGTTCTTCTCTAATATCTACTTCATTCTCTGTGAAAAAGAACATATCTTCAAATATGATGAGAATATATCTAATTGTAAGTAAAGGATGGTGAGTTTTCCTAAAATATACAAGTACACAATAAAATTATACTTATTGTTATAAGCATGCGTTTTTTACGACTTTATTTTCTTAGTATTTTTTAATTTTTACTTGTTTTTTTTATTTTAAAAATAAATTAAAATAAAAATCACCTTATATAAATGATTGTTTATGATACATGGGAAAATTTGTATTGTTTTCTTTATTAATTAAATATCCGAGGTACAAAATACAGAATCTAACAGAAAAATCATATCAATTTTCATTCAACAACAGAAATTCTAGTATTGTATATGATATTCACATAAGATATAAAATACATTTTTTTCCAATGCACTTTTGTATATACAGAAAGGGGATTGCAGCTTTGTTGAAAATAGAATAAAATAAATTAATTTTTTTCTACAAGTTAAAATTTATAGATGTTTTATGCACATTTCCACTTATCGCTGACACATCATTTTTTACCTAATTTTTACTTCCAATATTCTTTATATTGCATCGCATAACGATTCAAGTTACGTTAAGTAATTACTTATACAAAAAAAATTAAAGTGTTTGAAAATAGAAAATTTGTAATATTATTTATCATATTACAAAATTATCACATACTTTTACTAGACGAGGTAAATTAGACAAAGTAAATAAAGAAGATACTTATCGTCCGAATAGGCCACGAAAAAAAAAATTCGCGGGCAATTAATTTACTGAAGGCACGAGTTCATCAGCAAGAAAATTACACTTTGCAAGTACAGAAATCATTGTTATGACTCCGATTCATTATTACCGTATCATTGAATTTTTAAATGTTTTTGGCGGAATAGCGGGAATGGTTATTTGTAAATATTGTACACAAAATACATGTATATCATATTAGGCAAAAGACGATCAGATCATCGTGGCCTTGGTTTTAAAATCAAAATTAGATGCCGATATGGTCAAACATCAATCAATTGCGGTCCTTTTATTAAAAATGCTTACGAAAATAATCTTAGAATAGTGTTTGTTATGAGATTATTAAGGATTACTAGAGAAGACATAAACATCTTTTGTGGGCTCATGGACTTCGGCTAAGGCCTAAGCTCGTTTGCGTATAAAAATTGTGAAAAAGTTTACGCCGCAGCAAGTGCAGTATTTGATATTTTGTGTAGAAAAGCGGTTGATGAAGAAAAAGAAGAAAATACTACGAAGACCTTTATTAAATTTGAAAATGTCTGGCGACGGATCCTGGAAAACTCACGATTCCTTTTGATTATTTGGTGTTACGACGCTATATAAGAAATTACACTGGCAAGATAATAGATCATTGCAAAGAGCAGCTATTGCTAATCATGTATATATTGAAAAACTAAACAAAATATTGAAGATCATCTTTTATGTTACGAACAACACGAACATGAATGTGTTAAAAACCATACCGGTTCTGCGGGAAAAATAAATTGCGCGATATCTTCTCGAGTCTGACATGTAGCCACCGAATACAAGAGCATGTTGTGTAGTCTTTTTTAATCGTTTTTTAGTTGATTTCAAATCTGAAATAAAACTTATGTAATTCAAAACGGCAAATCCAATATAAAGGACAAGAATTTAATAATCCGTAGATACATAAAAATCGATATTTGGTGGTTTTATAAGTCTTTGATTTCTTATACTGTAATCACAATTGTTGAATTGAAAATAACTGATTCAATGGCAAAGAATACTAAATTTATACGGAACAGTGATTTAGCATTCCCCTTATATAATAAAGTGATACCTCCACGTGATACAGGAAAATATGATACAGGTTAAAATCATCATTTCGTGTATATTTAATTATTATTCATATTGGACTCGCTATTTTGATCTGACTCGAAAAGATATCATGCACTGTAACTGACGCGCGAGTTGCTTTGGTGCTTCAAATTCAATAACTTGTGAATAAATGGTCCGAAGTTTCTCAAAAAAAGGATTTAAACTAGAACATACAGCTATAAAAACAAATTGTCAGATATTTTTTACAATTTATTTCTTCCAAATTATTTGGTTTTATATTTCACAGTTTGCCAATTTTTTCGGTTTTTTACGATTTTTCCAAAATTTTTAAATTGCGGTTTGCATAAAACATTTCTGTAAATATCGAAAAAATATTTTTAGTATTATTGGAACATTTTTAAGTTAAATGCCGCTAAACAAACCTCAATATAATTTTTTGTTTAGCCGGAAAAAATTAATAAAGAAGTTACTTCCAGAAAACACTGTTTTTGCGATTATTTAAAAAATGGAGGGTAATGGAAAAAAACGGACAGTATAGTAGCTATCAGCGTATCCTACGGAAATATCTTTCAAAGCGAAAGACCCTCTCCCCTACATTTTGTCAGCTGGTCGTTTCAATGTGAAACAAAATTTAACAGATGTCCCCTTTTCATAGAATACCATTCATGCACAAAATATAAAGTGAATATTACGCAAACATATTATTAGTTTGTCAGTTTTCAGTGCTCATTCGTACGTTCATTTTAATATATATGTGTATGTATTTACTTGTATATACGTTATATATGATTTGCTGGGGTATAATAAATGTTTTAAAAGTATCACATATAAACATTATATAATAATAATGTTGTGCAACATTATTGTATAATAATTATATAATAATTAATGTACTTACATTTCTATATTTTTAAATGTATAATATATGTAATATTCTTCGTTATTTATAATAAATTAAATAATGTTTTATAAAATATAAAAGTATAGGCATATAAATATCAAACAGAAGACTATAAAATAGTAATATTAAAATAATATTAATTTGCAAGATACAACATTAAAAAACAGAATAATATATATATGTGTGTGGTATTAAATCTAAGGATCTACAAGGCAAGAAAGTAAAATATCAATTGAAAAAGAAAGCTAATATACATGTAAAATTATGTCATTACTCAATTTATTTTATTCTTAATATATAAATTATTACTATTAAATTTGAAGTAACGTGCGATGTAAATATGTATATTAGTTAATTCTTTTCTTGCATTAAGTATTATTATAAAATATTGTTTTTTCTTCGTCTTTCATTTATATATTATTTATGTCAATGTTTTTTTTTGTTTTGTAGACATGAGATATATTGCAAATCGTCTTTTATTTACTCCATGCTGCTATAATACATATTATAGTTTAGTGTTATGATCGCATTGAATACATAACAATAAAGTAAGAAACGGATGCATTTATTAACTGTAAAAATAATTATGTTTGCTTTCATTTTATTGCTTTATATAAAAAATACACTTTTAGTACTATAGTATAGGACATAAAACATATATTTTGTGTACCGTAGAAAAACATTCTA